TTTAAAATAAATACGCATTTGTTCTATAAGGTCATGTATATTTCTAGTAAAGCCATATGTGTGTTCTCAAGAATTTATAAAATCCGCTAGAAGCCCTTCATTCAATAGGTGGACAAGCAGGCAATTGCACAACAATTTGCATTTTTTCCTTCACAGCTTTATTAATTTTTTTTTTGATTTACATTTCAAAAGCCAAAGTAATGAATAATACGCCGCAACACAAATAGTACTTATACTTAATATATGGCAATAGTTACGTGATACGTATTATTAACGATTATGAAACACATTAGCAATGTTTGACAACCCTAAATAGTGTGAGCAAGACGAAGAATTGCAAAAAGTGTATTCAATTGTAAAAAAAAACATTTTTTTTTAAATCTTTTCAATTGTAAAAAGTGTATTCAAAAGTTAAAAAAAAACAATTTTTTTTTAAAATTTAAAAATGGAATCAAATAAAGAAAACAATAAAGGTGAAGAAAGTCACTCAGTCGCTTTAAAAAAAAGTGTGGGTCGATACGAAGATGAAATAATGTCATTAGTGGATTCCCGGCCTTATGCGCAAACGACAATAACCAATTTTGACAATTTGACAAGCCCGCAAAAATTTACGTCGTGCCATGAATTGTTGTCACAGTCTGCTGAGTTATCGACAAGTGGATATGAATTTCATATCACTGATGGAGGGTTAATCGAATGTTGTGATATAGCGGAAGATACGATGAAAAAAGTGAAAAACATAGACACTCCAGAAAGAGATCATGATGACAACAAAAAAAGAACAATTGTGGATATAATATTTGAGGACTTTTCTACATCGTCCTGTAGTATCACCCGAGAGTAAGTTGAGGAATTTGGAACGGTCCCCTTTATTTATATTACGGGAAAAACCTAAAACAAAATACAGCAGTGAATTTAGAGAAAAGGCAATATTCGCTCTTTTATACGATCCTACACCAGAAAGTAAGTGCTACTTTATAGGCATTTTTTAACAACCCTAATTTTGTACATTCTTTTTAGAAAAAGCTTCAGATCGAGGTTATGACGATATCGAGAAAGAGGACACTTACAACACTTAAATCAAAGTAAGTTGTTTTTAAAATTTGTGAAGAGACAATATTTAAGTTAATTTAGGTTAATCCAAAATTTTTCAGCTTTGGCGCCATTTAATCAGTGTAAAACTGAAATATGTAACAATTATGATTGGGATGAAGATGACGATGACATTTTTGCTTCCATAAGCACTCAAGAAATCCTACATCAAGACGTGAAGATCAGTAATTTTCCTCATATGTCGAAGTTCCCAGTAAATAAGCAGTTTACTCAGGGTATGCATTGATGTTCCTCACATTTTATTATGCTTATTATTTTATTATTATTTTGATTGGCTTTAAAGGTAACCGAAGAGATAATAGTGGGTACTCCAAGAGCTGAGAGAAACTAATGTTGCATTAGTACTTCAAAAAGCTAGCGGAGAACGGCCGGAGTTGGGAGTAGATAAAAACGCAGTTGGCCTGAATGAAATTTTTATTGAAAACGAATCGGAAGAAAAGTAAAGTGAATCGAGATGAAGGGGGCAAGGTGAATAATCCGGAAAGTTCGCTTGTTTCTGCTGGTTTTCAAACAGCGAATGGTAAAAAAATCTCCATATCGGAAAAAAGCCAAATATCCGTACAAAATATTCTACGAGAATTTCAAGACAATTTGCAAGAAACGAATTATGAAACTGAACTAAAAGACTTAAAAGCTCGGATGTCGTTTAAAAGTATGGAGTCCAAGTTTGGAAAAAATATAAACAGCAGTGCGCAAAAAGCCAACTAAACAGGCTTTCAAGCGACCTTTAAAATACAACAAGATAATGTTGGCAAGGTCATTAATCCGGGAAGTTCGCTTGTTTCTGCTGGACCGAAAGATATGAGAAATCGCAAAAAACTATTGTCATTAAACCCAAAATTTAATTATAGGCAACCTAACTCTGTGAGACACCGAATAGAAACTCACGACAAGCCGAGACTACGACACCAGAATTAGGTGAGTTTATTAATAATGCAGTTGAAACAATTGCACCATGCCCAAATAGGAAATTGCCAGTTCAGGAAAAAGGTAACGATGCAGTATTAATGGCAAACCGACCAAAAAGGTGGCGGCCATCGGGTTTAAGTCGCACTCGTACTAACGTAAAGAAATAACAAATGAAGAGAATTGATGGAACATGCAAATTTTCTTATAAGATTCATTTATTTTTTTTAATATTAGTACATTTTGAGTCCATTCTTATGCTTTTTTCTTATTGGGTTCGATACTCATATGCTTCAAGGCTCTTCAACTCCTTGCAAGTTTAAATAAGTTTTGTTATTTTTTTAATTTTATTTAATAAATAACATTTGGATGTTTTTTTCTTATCTTTGGTTTCTTGTATCTTTTTACTATTCAAATAATTTATAATTATAACTTTTTTAGTATTTATATATAATGTATATTATTACATGCATATTATAATATATTAAACAATACTGAACACAAATGTTCACTTTGATGTGGTAACATACGATCCCCTTTTTTCTTTTTGGTTAAGACACTCATTACAAGTAAAAGCCATTTTTACAAGAGTTGCAGGATTTCGTTTGGTATACAATTCCGAGATAATTTAGTTCTCGCCGCACGAGAAGTATTAGCGAATTTAGCTTTGCCTCAAAAAATAAAAAACAAGTTTACCAAATTTTCTTGATATAGTGCATAACGATAATGAACCCCTAAGCGACTTGGTGCTCATCAATCGATTCATCAAGTCGATTTTATTTTCGATCGTTTGCTATAAATATACTAAATGAATTATTTACATGCAAATAAATTTTGCGAAAATTTAAATAAATTAACGGGAATGGGACCAAAAATTATAAACATGACAAAATTAAAACACCGCATGCGTAACGATAATAACAGTTAATTAGTAAGTAATCAAATGGAAGAATGGCACAAAATACAAAAACAAAGTAAGATTATAATGTAATATATATATGTATGTGTATGTTACAAGTTATATAGCATAAATAGCTACCAACGAGGATCATATAATCCTATTTAAATCTAACTAAAACTAAAAATTATAATTTAATAGTAAATTCAAGGAATCTAGTCGGAGTATTAAATTCGAAACATGTGTTTGTATAAAATTTGCTGCCTTTATGGAGTAAGCATATATATTCTCAATAATTCCAAAGATGTGAGAATAAGAGTCCAATTTGTTTACAATTTTTAATATTGTTCAAGTATTTGGATAAGAATTGCGTGCATGCGAGAATAAGCGTATAAAAATTTGCCTTCAACTGAAAATGATTCTCAATAATTCCAAAGACGTGAGAATAAGAGTCCAATTTGTTTACAATTTTTATATACATTTATATTGGACATTAAGTACGATTGGTTTAAATCGCGCCTCACCAAACCCAACTGCGCAAAATTAATTGACAATGCCAAAGACAAACACCTGTTGATGACCGCCAATGTATTCCAAAAATTTATTTTAATTTTGTTTTAATTTTCAGAGAATTTAATTTTCTTCAAACTTTAAAAAATCTCTTTCGAAAGTCATAAATTATCAAAATTGAAAATTGGTACTTAATATACAAAGCAAGTATGGTCTCAATCGGTTAATTGGTAAGTGAAGATATTCTTCAATCGTTTCCAAAATCCAAATGCCATGAAATTTAGTTTTGATTTCCGTTAAATATAAAAATCTAATTTTAATCTCTGTTAAATATAAAAATCTAATACCTATCGTACATGTAAAGCAATACTATGAATTTTTTTTAATTAAGACGTTTTAGATTGCAACAATCCATTAAATAAAAAGAACCTTTTAGCATTGACTCTTTATTTGATTGAGAGTGAATATCATTTTACCGGAGTGTGGGTGAAATGGGGTGCTCAACAAGTGGAGAATTTCAAAAATTTTCTGCCAGATTTTCCAGAAGACTTAAACAAAGTTGATAGATATGATACTAAGCCAACAGCTACCGGCATGCCCAAGGGTTGTTCTTATGCCATCATTCATACCAATTTTTTATATAAATAAAATTATTTAATTACACATTTCCAGATAACGTAAGAGGATTTAAATCGTTCTGCCGAGACCTTTAACGTCTTATAAGATTTCTTTTCCAACAATCCCGATGTTCCTATATTGCCAAATGACATAATATAAGGAAAGAAACCATTCCGCCTGATGTGTATGTATTTCTCAGCATTACTTGATTTAATAACAAAATTTTACTTACTTTTTTTTTTGTTTTTGTTTAGTAAAGAAGACAAGATCAATACATCCAGCAGTATCCAAAAAATATATTGTACGACCAGAAAAGTATATTGTACGACCAGAAAAGTATATTGTACGACCAAAAAAGTATATTGTACGACCAGAAAAGTATATTGTACGACCAGAAAAGTATATTGTACGACCAAAAAAGTATATTGTACGACCAGAAAAGTATATTTTTTAACTGTTTTTCTCTCTCTCGTTGAAATTATGTAACAATGGAATCCAGTGGAGGGATAAGATTTATTGTTTCTTACCGTTTCCTCTCTCAATAGCGACAGTATATGATAATGTACGGATAAAAAAAAAATTGAATTAATATACTTATCTTTCACAAATTTAAAATTTCTGTTTTGGCTTGTAAGCAACTAATTTTGTTCAAAATTTATTTTATTTTGAACTTACAGCTGTTTTTTTTTATAAATGCAGTTTTAAAAAAACAATACTAACTTAGAACAACAACACTAACGCACCACGTTTGATAATTTTTGACAATTTTGAGAGAACGTATCTCGCACATCTTGTGCATACATATAGCAAAAAGTTCGAAACTTGAAAATGGAACCTAGTTATCGTCATCAATCATCCCACAAATTAGATATGAGCAAAATATCGAAAAGAGTCACAATAGCATTTCGACACTTGCTTGCACCTACCGTTCGATTTGTTACATCTCTGTAAATATTACTTAGCAATATGATTGTTTTATAATCGCTTTATTTAGATAGTTTTAAATTGGATTAGGCCAAATAGCCTTCTCTTAATAATTGAGGCAATTATTTTCGTAATATTTCCACAAAATTGGTTACTTAATAATTGTTAATTAATGATATCATGATATATCATGATAGACTTCAAGGGTTTTTATACACTCAACACTTTGCCGAATATTGGTAAGAATGTGTTTAAGATGAAAAGTGCTAAAAATTTAAATTAAAAAAAAAACAAACAATAAGGGAGAGAAGTAAAATGTAATCAAAGCGCAAAAAATATTGAACTAAGACAGTCAAAATGGTAAAATTTGTGATGAAAATATAAATATTGGTTTTACGGCCATCCTTGACAAACGCCATAATGAACAGCTTGTTTCACTTTAATGGAAAATATATAGTTTATTTAATGATGGATATGAATTTTCAGCAAAGTTTCTTAACGTGCACTTATGTACACCTTAAGTTTGTTTTCCATGAGTAACACGTTAATGTAATGTTATTTTTGAAGACTCATCAAATTCTGAAATTGAAAATGCTGGAGGGAAGAGCGACTCCATCAATTAGTTCAAGTAAATATTTCGAACTCGTCCACCACCAATTGATTTGTTTACATTGAACAGTTGTTTTCGTTTCGGACTCGTACCCCACCCATTGATTTGTAAACATTGTTTGATGATAGTAAGTACGAGCTAATTACTTTAATGTGCAATAAATGTAATGTACTGTTATTTTTGAAGATTCGTCAAATTCTGAAATGGAAAACGGTGGAAGAAAGAGCGATTCCATCAATTATTTTAAGTAAATATTTCGAACTCGTACACCATCCATTGATTTCCATTGGTTTGTAAATATTGTTTGATGATGGTAAGTACGAAGCTCTTCCAAAAGAAGTTATGGAGAAAGCCATCATCGATCAATTTTACATATTCACTAATTCTAGGATCTGTATTATATGACGGACTTTCCAGATTTCCAACACTATCGAGACCGGTCTTCCAAAATTAAGAGTGTACGAGTTAAAAGTGAAAAGTTTGACGAAGATGTGAAAAAGCTTATTATTGTCAAAAAAATCAAGAGATGCGTATTCGCAATTGTATAGATGAGGCAAAAGAAATAACTATTCCTCTAAACGTCTTCCGAAAATCTGTAATTAAGCCACCGTGGGCCTTAAATGTCAATTCTCTCTCTTACTCTCATCATGCAAAATAGAACGTCCGCCAAATCTCGTTTCGTCTTCAGAGAACTAATCACAGAGAAAGACTAAGCTTTTAGAAAATAGAAAAAATAGCATTTCCCTTTTGAAGACGGTTCTAAGAGTGATAATATGTCCTCTGCCTATGTGATAGTAGATGCCCCGCGACAAGTTTAAATTGATCACATCCTACATGAAAATTCGTCAACATTTGCAACCAAAGCCACAAACCTTACTCGCAAAGTTAAACTTAAAATGGTTATCATCAGAGATGGTTTCTCACTCACAAAAGGTATTCGCAACTCTTTAAATTTCAATTGGAACATCATTAGCAAAGTGAGGAAAACATGCAGAGATAAAATTAAAATATTTGGCTATCAAATCATAATGGAATCTTTTCGGAAATGAGCGAGCAAATCGGCAGCTTCTGCACCTTCAATTATGAACGACGCAATGGAAAAGCTTGATTTTCAGAAGCATATTAGAAAAAAAATTAAAGCAAAGCTAACGAAAAAAATCGACAGCACTGCCATCTACACTACCTGCATCTTAGTCTTTTTGAATGTCAAAACCTTTCTAATATTCGAAGACTAGTTTTCGGGCCTTGTAACCCTGTTGTCATCTCGAAAATGTCTGGAGAACTTGATCAATCAATAAAGTCAATAAATTATTTGATCTTCATAAAAAACAAAAGAAAAGGCGATATTCTTAATTGCTAGTGCTCATCCTGTCTTTAGTTACCGAAGTTATCGCTTTGGTCTAAATAAGTTGTAATAACAAAACTAATAACAATGATATTAGACGGACAATGCTTTCCACACGAAAGCTTAATTTTCTTACTTTCTGAAGTAAATCTGAAGCAAGCAGGTGGAATCTGTTGGATAAGAGAAAGATTAACGAACAGTAAGACTCGAAAACATTGAGCAGAAAGATCATTGGCAAATAAAGCAAACAAGAGTAGGTCTAGGTGATCATGTACCAAAAATATTTCGACTTTCAAAACCTAAAAAATTAATGAAGTATAAATAGCCCAAATTTTTTGGAGATTTGTGACTTTACTGACAATGTCTTCTAAGTTCTGCTAAGTTACGATTTACAGCAAAAAACAATAATTTAAATGGTAAAATTAAAAATTAGTACGCAGTACGAACAATTACACAAAGCAAGCAATTGTGATCACAGATTAAAAAGCTACGTTATTGCTACTATCGGCATACCCAGTCAGCAAGACGCCAAAAGTTATCTGAAGCCGTCTCTGTCGCAAAAAGTTTTAGATTATTAAGACACAAGTGCAAAAGCGTGTGCTTTTTTTTTAATACGATGAAACACTCAGTCAATTATCTTCTACGCGTGTAATACGGTAATGATCTGGAAGAAATTGAAGAAAGAGACAAATAAAAGGGGACGATGGGCGCAGCCTAATTTTGTATTACCAATCTATAAGTACTACGCCTTTACGGACTACATTCCGCTACTACTCTACCGCATTTTTGATTTGAACTCGCGAACATTATGCTTTGTCTCCTATCTGCAGAAGGCAAGGAGTTAGGGACACAGGGTGCCAGGTTAACCTCGCGTACAAACCCGTTCTTCGCACGCAAATCAACAATCAATACTTTATATTGTTAATTAGTTGATATTTTTGAGAGATCAAGTATAAAAACTTTGTTATACGTTCCTATAAGCAAAATTATCCTTACATATGCACAATACCTTGGAACACTGTAAGGGGGCAACACCGACTATAAAACACCCTACATCACTTCGCCTAGTTAAACATTTTGCTTCTCTTCGCCATAAACTATCAAAATTTATACCTTTTTGCTAGCTAAAATGCTTTTTATGAGAGCCCTTACTACAGAAGCGTTCGAAAAATATAGGTAAGTAGCCCAAATTACCTACAATACTTTTATATATTGAATCTTTGCTTTCTACTAATTTCTATCGGTAAATACTAAAAAGATAAAAGATTTTGTTTCTACATAAAAACTTGTTACATCCTACAATACCTGTGGTACAAGGCAAATTAATTGTGAGCGGATACATACAACAGCCAGAAAAACTTGCGTTAGACGAACTAATCAAGACCAAACTTGTCTGTCCGTCTGAATTTTCGCCATGTATTCTTGCGTTCAACTTACAGATCATAGTTTCGACATATTTTCATGAAGCTTGATACGCTAACGTGTCGCGGTCAAATGAAAAGGCTTATTGGACCACATTTTCGCCTATACCTCATGTTACTTCTTATTTTGTGAAAATATGGCAAATTTTCAGAATTTCGCAACTAAAGTAAGTAATCGAATGTGGCAATTGTGTCAACCTCCTTCCATATAACCGTGCCCGCTGAATTTGTCTCTTTCTAATTTTCAGTATTTATTTATTTATTTATTTATTTTATTCCACTTATATTAGAAACTCAACTAAACAAATAACAGTCGAGTTCAATAGGCTCTTAATGCAAAACTAATATTAATTAACAATAAAACTGAGTATAAGCATAATAAAACAAATAAGAAGAAAAAAAAAGAAAAAAAAGCATGTACACTATCAGCATAGGAGCACACTTTATTACTTTAATTAGAAAGGAAACGCCAAGAACAAATCTACGTTTCTCCAGAGACGGTAGGGACAGCAGAAGCAACCTAGTATGTCCCGATTTAAATTTCTTTATGATAATAATTTGACAAAAATTGACCTTACTAAATTTGGACCACGTAGGTTTATTTTTTCGATCCCGCTCCAAATAAGAGGTTGATGAAATGTAAGCCTTTATATGGCAAAAAAACCAAATTTTGACATTTTATCAAGAAAATTGATTCACAAGATTTAAATACAGTAAAGCTGAACTGTATCAAATTTGAACCTCATGTGTCTATTTTTTGACACCATTTTTTTACAAGGATCTTCATGGAAAGTAAGTTCTTTGACAAAAATTGTAAAACAGTAGTAATTTGCATTAAAGTTAACTGTAGGACATTTTGACACCATGGGACATAGGTAGGTAGGTAGGTTGTTCATTTCTATTCTATTCTAAAGCACTGTCGCGGAATTGAGGAACATGCAACTAATTAAAGTTTGGTTTACTTACTAAAATGCCTGCATTTCAGAGTAGAAATTTGAAGACACGAGTACTTTGGCATGTCACCGCGGTAATTTATAGTCTGCAGATTTTTGACAAAGTCTTTGAAATACTATTGCATGAAAGTATGGCGCTTCATCAGTCACCGCCCAGCATTATGTACTGTGAATAAATTATATCAACGGTGGAGGGAACAAAGCAATTAGCTTGATAATCCATCATAACAACATCTTCCAATTGATTACTTTTCTTATTGAATTTGAACATTAAATTTTTTCGGGTGAAGATTCCCTTGCGCAAGTGCGGATTTCTGGATTGTATTTTGATAATAATTCATCCAAGTGCGTTGTTTCTGGATTGTATTTTGATCATAATTTATGCAAGTGCGCCGTTTCTGGATTGTATTTTGAGTCATTGATAAACACATTAAGTATGCAATCTTTTAGAGAAAGTAGCTGTCCTCAAATTCGTCATTTTCATTAACTTTTTTTGAGATTGTGATAGCAATTTTTCTTAAACTTCAAATCTGAGCTAAACGATAAGATATTCTGCAATGTTACCTTCCGAATTTACTCAATAATCATTAGCTAAGGGCTATGGTTGCTAATAATCCGTGATGAAGTGAATCCTGAAAACCTTTTAAAAATTAGCTGATTGCGTACTTTCACAGTCTAACTATAAGTGAAAGTCTGACTCATTGCATAGTGTCTTTAAGTAATCCTTCTTGTCGACATTAATTATCTGAGTTTTCCCTTCTTATTATTAATAACCATGTTGTTTATCTACAATGCTACGTTATTATGACAAGAAATCGCTTTTAAAGTGACTTAAGTATGCAATAAGTCTTTGCTTCACCTATTTCTTAGGACTATGGATTGCTCGGCTTTACGTTAGAAAAATATTTTATTCGCACGCTTATCATAGTGACTTTGTAGCAGCAGCAGCATAGGTAGCAGCAACCGACATTATATTGTAAATTACACTTGTTAAGAAAAACGCGATATATTGCAAACCCCATCAAGTTTTGTTGCGGCATCACTTTCCACCCATATGACCACTAGCAAGAGCTGTTACTGATGGTGACTATAACTATTACTAGCACACACTCACTTAGCAGTTATGTGAACCGGACCAGTTTAAATGAGTGGTTACTTGTTTTCCAGTTCATTTTTCTTCTTCTGTGCTTTTCTTGTACATAAAAATGATGTTTCGTTTCGAAATCGAAAGCTAATCAATGCGTCTCTTTGCCACCTCGTGCAACATCGGCGTTATCTGGCAATCATACGTGTACTACAGTTATTTTCGTATACAGCAACTTTGATTGGACATATTGCTGTTGTATGCGTTTTTAGGTCTGTTTGTCTGTCTATCTTTTAGGTTAATTATGTCGGCGTGATTTTCTTTTTTCGCGGTCTGCGATTAACGAGAGCGAAAGCTGTTTTATTGCAAGTATGCAAATGAAATATGTTTTATTACCTATGCAATGATTGACAGTCAACTATACATATACGTATATGTCGATATGTGTTTATGTAGATATTATAATTCTCAACATTCCCGTTGGGGCTGGCGCTGGTGCGTGCGTGTGTGCTTTTTATGTTGTAAAAATTGCAACATTTTTCTTTCAAGATTATTGAAAGTGCAAGTAAAAGTGAAATATGTTATATGATAAAATAACGACCACACTTCGCTCAAACACTTACGTATATGTACTTATTTATAGACTGGCTATAAGTGAAAATGTGCAGGCGAAGAATTTCAACAATTCTCCTGACAGCAGCAAATTAGGTTAGCTTATCGAATGACCTGCCTCTGATGATTACAGTAATGATGGCAGTATTGAATTGTCTGTCGAAAGCCCAATAGATTCATTAAACCATTTTTTTTTCTTTTTGTTAAAACAATATTTCTTTATTTCGTCATGGTTGTAGTTGTTACTGCTATTTGTCTATCACGGCAGGCATGATATATAAGATGTACGCATGTATTTGTAGTTAATGGAAAACACAATATTACAATAATCTGCGTGCAAATCTCTTAATCGTATATTATTACTGCAGAGTGCGTGTTGTTTTGAAGTTTGTGGTTTTTTTATTTCAGTTATGGTTTTTTCTTTTTTCTCTACTTCTTCTACTGTTCAACAAACCAAAATCAATACGTAGCATTAGCTTAGTGCCATAAGGCAAATTGCTTCATATACAAATCATGTCAGTGTATACGCAGAGCGTATAATAATCCTGTCAGTTTAGCACAATCGTCAACAACAACATCATGTAATCAGGTTTATTCCTATTTAATTGAAGAATTTTTCTCTCACCATCGTTATTTTATATATGCTTAACATAAATTTTTATTAAACAAACAAGGAAAAAACAAACAGCTTAGACTTTCGTGTTTTCTTACCTTTTGACAATGGGTTAAAGGCTGCGCTATGC